CCATACTGATGAATATCTTGCATATCACCATAGAACCTTCATCTGGAGATGGATGGAGATAGAGACAGAGACCCACACTGGAGCACCGGACTGAGCTCCCAATGTCCCAAGGAGGAGCAGAAGGAGGGAAAATATGAGCAAAGAAGTCAGGACCACGAGGGGTGCACCCACCCACGGAGACAGTGGGGCTGATCTATTGTGAGCTCACCAAGGCCAGCTGGACTGCGACTGAAAAAGCATGGGATAAAACCGGACTCTCTGAATATGGCGGACAATGAGGGCTGCTGAGAAGCCAAGGACAATGCCACTGGGTTTTGATCCTACTTCATGTTCTGGCTTTATGGGAGCCTAGCCAGTTTGGATGTCCACCTTCCTAGACCAGGATGGAGCGGGGAGGACTTTGGACTTTCCACAGGGCAGGGAACCCTGACTGCCTCTTTTTTTTTTTTCAATAAAAAATTATATTTAAAAAAAAAAGAAGTGAGATTTTCACTCACTTTAAACTTTCATAGCAGAAGACAGCAGTCTGCCTACTTTAGGTGCATATTAAAATAATAAACACATAAAAAAATTATTTGGAGTTTGGCAACTAAGAAATTTGTAAAAATCAATTCTATTCATTTATTTTTGACAAATTAAATCAGTATATGAGGTATACAAAAAATGTCGATTTACAAGAGTATAATCCTTCTGCCAGTTTCAGAATTCATCAAAAGGGCAAATTTTATTATCCATAGCACCTGCCAGACAAAATCTGTGTATGTAAGAAAATGCAGACTTGTATCATGGTAGAAGCATGAACATGTGGAAATGGCAGGAATGAAGTGATACTAGCATAAACAGCTCACAGGTAGCTCACATGTGCATGGACATGGGAAGCAAATGATCATTTCCTGAGATTCTAAGGACACACATCTATCACATTAACAAGGGAAAGCCAAGCCCTCTGTCTCCTGCCTTATCACCTAATCACCCTCGGATTGCTGCATATCTTGAGTAGAAAGCACCAGTCTCTTACCTATGAACAGCCTCTAAGGCTAATAAAGACCACAGACAAGAGACATGGCTAATAAGAGGTTAAATTCCCAAGTGGGTAGAATAATAGCTTTGGCCTAATGTATTCCTTAGGTTTCCCAAGCATTAGATTACACATTTAGCCGAACCCGAATATGAGCCTTGGCTGAATGGGAGTTGGAACTCTCACCAGATGAAACGTCCACAAAATCAGTTCTCCCTTTTTCTTTAGTCTTTACCACTAGTGCCCCAAAGTCATAATTAAGGACAACACTGAGATGAATTTTCTCAAGAATATGAATAATATTCATGCCTATTTTCAGAGTGATTGTGAAAAATGCAGTGGCATAATCTGTACTAAAGATGTTACTGCAGCATTAAGTCCACCTATTATAAGTCTAATATGGCAGGTTAAACTGACAGCTCCTATTCAACATATACTTACAATCTCTAGGCCCTGAGCCTGTTACTTATATGATAAGAGTAACCACGTGTGTGAGTAAGTTAAAAACCTTGAGGTGATAGTAACTTTGGTTATCTGGGCGATTCTCCTGTCATCAAAGATCTCTTAAGAGGGAGAAACTGAAGAGCCAGCATCAAAGAAAAAGTGACCTGAAGACTGTGTTTACACCTTTGAACTATTACTTCTGCCTGTGTTGGGACTGGAGGGGAATATCTCCTTTTCAGTAGACAGTGGTTATTGCAGAAATTCGTCATCAGTCGAGCTGCTGAGGATAAGAGGCTGTTGTTGCATAGTGGTCCATTGCTTAGCCCCAAATCCAAAAAAATAATCAGATATCTATACTGTGTTTTCTAAGGCTCAGAAAACACCATAGAGAAGCATCCTAAAGGATGGATCAAGGGTGGAGTTAGTGTAACTATTTCTTTCAAAACAAAATGTTATCTCCTGAAGTGAGCTGGACTGTGCCCGAGATCCAAGAAGCTCAGGATGCATGAGATGAGGAACTCATACAACGTACAAGGCTCAAGAGGCTCTCTCCACATAATCGAAAGGAGTTAGGAGGTTCCTCATGGAAGCTTCCTGTTTAACTTTATTGGCAGTTTCGGGTGTCAGTGTGAACAAATCTCCCACAATAGAGTCTGTTATGATAACACAGCACAGGACAACATGGTGCTTGCAGAGAAAGCCAAGGTGCAGAGACCTATGAGGCAACTTTCTCTCCTAAGGAATAGAATCTAAGCAATTCTTGTGCAAGGCTTGATTCAGTGCATGTTGACATCATGCTGTTACACCATAAAACTACTACTTGGAAAGTTTCATCTCTTTAAGATGATACTTTAAAAAGTATCATTTGTACTTTCTAAACTGTGATGTGTGGGTTTGTAGATTGGCAACATATAAATTAGATTATTTTCAAAACCTGTGGCACCAGACGTTAAAGTGAGTTATATGGACAGCTGAAAGCATAAAACTAGTTAATTGTGGGGGGTGCCCATAAGAGAAGTTGCTTATTCTTGGTGATGCAAGAAGGAACTAAGATATTGTAGATCTTCCCTTATTCTCAGAGTTGGACTACTTTGCAGCTGTGACAGAGCAATGATGGACCAGAGTGCAGAACTGAGTAAAACAGGGCATTTGTGAACAAAATCAATCCACTTCTCTATAGTCAATGTGTACCATCATATTTATTTTGTTGCTTCTAAATACAATCCATCAGAAGACCCTAGAACAAGAATTTTCTTGAAAGATAATTTCAATTCTGTCTCTTTGTATGTGCTAATAAGTTGATAGGAACTGACTGCATTTTGAGTTAATCTACCTCTAACTTGCCTGATACTTGTAAGGTAAGCCAATATGGCCCCAAACTGATGTGGGAGTGTCATATAGCAATCTGTTGATTTCATTGGTTAATTAAGTAAAGAAACTGCTTGCCCTGATAGGTTAAAACATAGGTGGGAGGAGTAAACAGGAGGAAGAGGAAGTGAGGTAAGACTCCTGAGACAGACCCAACAGCTCTGCTCTGCTCTGGAGCAGAGACGCCATGCTCCGCTTTCCCGATAGCTCTGCTCTCTGAGACACACGCAATGCAGCTCCGACCCAGGATGGACATAGGCTAGAATCTTCCTGGTAAGTGCACCTTGGGGTGCTTACACAGATTATTAGAAATGGGCTAGTCCAGGTGTGAGAGTTAGCCGAGAAGAGGCTGGATATAATGGGCAAGCAGTGTTTAAAAGAATACAGTTTGTGTGTTGTTATTTCGGGCATAAGCTAGCCAGGCGGCCAGGGTGCTGGGAACGCAGCCCCGCCGCCGCTCTTATTTCAACAATGTGGCAATGATCCTGCCTCAGTTGCATGAATGCTAGGGATTACAGATGTGCCCCATCATGCTTAGCAGCTTTTCATTTGTTATCATAAACATGTAGAGAAAAATGATAATTTCAAAACTCAAAGCAGCCTATAACTAAACAAATGAATAATGGCATATTGCATTTAGGCAAGATCAAGTATTATATCCTTCTCAGAGAATACTATTCTTCAGAATCAGCATGTACACAGTGCTGTGGGAACCAGAGGATGGAGGTATTCTAAAGAGCTCAGGGGAACTATACTTGGACTTAGGATTCCCATTACCATCGGGACTAGGATGCTGAGTGCCTCTCCCCCATCTGTCTCTTGGCTTGGCATTTTATCGTCCCTGGCACCAGCATTCGAAAATATGGGTACCACTATATCTAGAAGAGAGCTTAATGCTGTCTCCTTTGGAGCCTTGTAAGTAATAGGCAATGTAGGAACTGAAACAGTTGATTAAGGTTGCAGTATTTTCCAAAGACTTCTAATGGGCGCTCACGTCAACAGCTTCAAAGTCATTACACTCTTAGGTGCAGGGAGGAGACCTGCTCTCTTCTCAAACTGACAAGTCTCTAGATGTGCTTCAAAGCAGTTCCAGTCTTTCTAATTGTGTCATCACTGACTCACAGAAAGGACTTAAAATAATCTTTCTATCTTCAAACTATTTCAATGGTAAACATGTTAGTTAGAAAAGAGTGACATGGTTGTACATATTTCTTATACAACCTGAGATAGGCTGTGGCTAATCATGGTTGAGTGATTCCATGCCTGGCAGTTTCTCTTTTCTTTCTTCTTTTTTTGAAGGGCGCATCAACATTTATCGAATAAACAGATCCCACATTCTGTTTTTTTTTTTTTCCAAGTCAGGCAGTTTTTGAATAGCTTAATGTAGCTCATAATTTTTGGAAAACATTTAAATATTTAATAACAGAAGCTAATCTGTGAGAGCTCAAAGGTTTGACTATGAAAAGCTCTTGCAAGTTCAGAACTTTAGCTATTTCTAAAAAGTAAAGTGTAGTTCCCATACATAAATCAAGAGAGAAGGTAGGCATCACAGACATGGCATCAAAGGCATAAACAAAAAGAAAGACTGTCTTCATCATAATTAATTGAGTTAGTTAAGTTATAGGAAATAAAAATGCGAGCAAAGAATTCTAAAAAAAAATATCTGTAAGCCATATATCTGATGAAGAACTCACAGCTAGAGCACGTGAAGGACTCACACCCCAGGCCAAATGGAACCGCTTAAGTAGTAGATGAGCAAAGACTTTGATACTATACTTTCTCCAAAAAGACATACAAATGTTCCATACAGTTTAAAGAAGAGATAGATGCTGGATTATTGTAATCATCACAAAACAAGTCAAAATTAGGAGTGCACCTTCTGAGGCTCCAAGAAACACAACAGAACAGGAAATGAAAAGCAAAACGACCAGAGGGTGGTGGTGGGAATTCGAATAGTACAGGGACTGTTGAAAAGTGCCTGTCAGTTCATCCTTAGATTTCTGATATGAACATCAAAGACATTAAGGATGTCACCTAGATGAGGTGCAGATGCCTGTGAACAGGAGGCTTACCCAGAAGCTCATGTTTTTAAAGGGATCTCTGACTAAAACAAATTCTCTCACCCAAATGGACAAAGAAACCCTCCTCTCTCTAGGAGGGTTTTACTCACTGAGGTTCCATTTCAGGCCTGTTGTTGTCACCTGGTTGCAGTGCTGTCCAACAGGAATAAGGCCACACCAGCTGCCTTCCAATCCAGTGTCTACGTGGAGCCTGTGCTTTCCCTGAAGGAGAAAAGCAAGTATGAAGAAGGGGAAGATGCTAACCACAAATTAACTTCGTGCATGCTTTAGTCCTAAGAACTGACTAGCGCTGATTGAGTTCTAAGAGCTTTTCTATATCAGTTTACTATAATAATCAGTTTTACAGTTGATAAATTGGTTAAATATATCCAGAATAAATACACATATAAAGTATTATTTCTTACATCTGCCAATTCTAAAAATACCATCCATTGCACCTACTGATGATGCAGCCTTTTGTGACACTAGATTATAGGCTCAATAACAAGTATTTGTTTAATTATATATAAAAGATCATTTCCCAAGTAAAATCTTTAATTATCTGAGAGTCAGGTTTGTAATATTGAAAACTCAACACAAGCACTATAAGTAGTTAGCCTGTCTCCTGTGGCCATCACTGAGATGCTCACAATGCACACATAGGTGCACTGGTTAGTTTTTGTCAATGAGATAAACTAGTCTCCTGAGAAGAGGGGACCTCAACTGAGGAAGATCTCTATTGGATTGGCCTATGGGCATGTTTCTGGGACATTTTCTTGACAAATAATAAGTGGGAGGACTCATTCCACTGCGGGTAGTGCCACCCCTGGGCAATTAGTTGGTGCTGGGTTGAATAAGAAAGCAAGCTGAGCAAGTCATGGAGAGCAAGCCAGTAAGCAGCACTTTCCCATGGCCTTTGCTTCAGTCCTCCCTGCAGGTTCCTGTCTCGGCTTCCCCTCAATGATGTTCTGTAAACTGCAGGCCATATAAACCCTTTCTGCCCCAAGTTGGTTTAGGTTAGTGTTTTATCATAGCCACAGAAAACACTAAAACAATAGGGACCATTTTATTTCAATACCCAATCAGAAAAGAACTAAATATAATTAAATAAATTGTGTTAAGGAGTAATGCATTTTGAACTAGGTGTCTGCTGTTGAGAGAAAATGCACAACCCAGGAGATGCTATGAATACAGAAGCATGGGTTGATCGTGGTACGGACAACATGGCTGAGTGGCAGCAATGGGTCTGCAGGATGAGATATGGAAGAACCTTTTGATCAATGATTAAGTGCAAGGGCTCAGTCCACTGTGGGTAGTGCTACCTCTGGGCAAGTGGTCCTGGGTTGCACAAGAAGACAGCTTGCTCACTGATGGACTACTGTGCCAGCATTGGAGGTATGCCTCTACATATACATTTCAGGTGCTAATAGTCAACACAAGTTCCTCACTTGTTAGAAAGGAACCCCATGGAAGCATTGTAAGGAGTACACTGCAGGCAGTATGCATGTGTGCATGGGGGCTGGGACGCTCCGTAATCTGCTTAATGTCTTCAACTGCAAATCTTCTCTAAAAGTCAGGAAGTCTAAGTTTTAAAAATGTCTCACAGCAACCCTTCAGCTGTCCCCTCATGAGGGAGGACGGCCGCAGGATGGCGGGTATGAAACCTGCACTAGATGAGCAGTGCCACCCAAGGGGAACAGAGTCACATCTCAACAGCCATTACAACTGGTTCTGATTTTACCTCACCGTTAGAAAGGTGAGCCATGGTCTGTCTTTATTGCTTTGTATGGTTTTCCCTTAAAGTGACTGAGATTGGCTCATTTACCACACACTTGTTACCCATCCCTTCCCTCCTATTCTCCAAAGCAAAATAATTCTCTCTGAAGATAGATATTCAGAATATAATAAAAGTGGACATCCTGAATACCACACACTGCACATTTTAACAAACCCTGAAAGGGGTGAAGATGTTTCTTTTATAATAAAGCAGTTTCCGGGGGAATGGGGTGGCAGCAATTCTCAGTTCTTTTCAGATATTTTGGCTTCAGGAGGAAACAATTCGATGGTATTTTATGAAGGTAGAGCCTGCTCAGTTTTCTGTTTTAGGTTGAACTTCTAGGGCCCCATGGGAGAAATGCCACACTATTGGAGGGATGACAGCTAAGTTGCAACCTTCTGGCATAAGGTAGTAGCTCAAGAAGAGTGGAAGAGAAGGGGCTGAAGTCTGCATGGAAGCCTTGACCTTTGTAGCCCCTGGCATTTCTGACAATGAGGGTGGCTTCCCATGGCTTATCAAAGAGGGATACACACATTATGGATGTGTCTTATTTTCAATGTGTTTATATTCACTCTTACTTTTAATGCCTCTTCTTCCTTGTTTTTGGACTGCTTTATGTTTTAGTAAAAGCCAGCTAAATACATTGTATGTTTGGTGTTCTAGAAAATTCTAGTGAAAAATGATGAAGGGAAGAAAATAATTTTTTTCTGGTGGATATTAACTCCCTGGGAGAAGATTCCTTAGCTTCCAACATATAACGCAAAGGAAACAGCACATATACATGTTCAGCTTTACTCTCCTGGGGAGAGAAGCACTGCTGTAAAACCACCGATTTAAGCAGCACAGTCGGAAGCCCCCTTCCTTGGCTTTGCTAGGTATTCATGGCCTTTCTCGTTATTCTAAGAACCAATGCACCTTAACATTTTCAGTATGGGAATAAGCTAGTTTGGTGACTTGAGAAGTCACAGATAGGTCTTAGACTATCATCAATTAGCATTTCATCTCTTGCTTTAAAAGTGTGTTTTGCCATACGTGAAGGGTCTTGGTGTTTATAAATATGCAAATTTAGCTTTTATGACTAAAAGAGAGCAGTATTATGCTTTCATCCTGTGTCGGCATGTCAACGTGACATCTTTAAAAAATGAATGACTGGGTAAAGGAATTTTTGCTCATTCCCTAGATTTCTCAGTTTATAATATATGCTAGTCTATATGAGATTTGACAGAGGCAGGCATCTAGCCTGACGTTAAAGAACCCCTGCAGGATTTATGGCATCACTGAAGACCAGAGGCACATGAACTAATCATTCACTTCCATATACTTCCATGAATCACTTCTCAGGTTCCTGCTCTATCCTCTGTTCTCAGCTAAGATAACTCTTTGAAGTCAAAAGCAGTTTTATACAGTGAAGAAGGAACAAAAATCAATCATGGTTTGCCTTTTCAGTTGTGGTTATAAGAACAGATGCTGCAACTTTAACATGTTGAAACTATAAACCAGTGAAAGGCAGCAAAGATATTGTATGGCAAGTGTACTGAAAACCATACTTAAGATCATGCTAAGGACAGACAGTATCATAAGATAGGTTTCCCCAGACTATAATTCTAAGCTAGAGCAAAACATACATACATACACACAGAGAGAGAGAGAGAGACAGAGAGAGAGAGAGACAGAGAGAGACAGAGAGAGAGACAGAGACAGAGAGAGAGAGAGAGAGAGAGAGAGAGCTACCTACTGAAGGCTAAGAGACCATTCCCATTACATTTTCTGTGTTTCCTTATTGCAACAGAGGAAGGCATGATTGAAAGAAATACTAAGGCTCACCTTAGATTTTGTCATCTAAAAATATCAAACACAAAGACATCTTAATTCAGTTTATATTTTTAAGTACTTAAATTTAGGAACCATGCCAACATTTGCACAAAAATATTTTTAGATAGAATATCTTGCAAAATGCAAATGCATAGCAAATTAATAAGATCACAAAACACGGAATACAGGAAGAGCATAATGACCTTTCTAGTTTATATAAAAGATTCAAGGAGCATGTGAGACTGGTGATTCACAAAGCAATCAGTCATTCATTAAATTGCTACTAATGCTCAAGACACACCCTGTGTTAACTGCTGTATATAATGTAAGTAAACCACCAGACCTAGTATGAATGAACACTCCTGCACGCTGCTTAAGCACAGGCCAACCGATAGCATGTCAACTTTTGCCACTCTGTTCAGGTACTTTAAATTATATTAGTAAATACAGGCCACTTGCAAGAAAGTAAACAGCCTGCAGGAAGAACTTCAATGAGAAAGATAAAAGGATCCACACTGCGTGTAACAGAAGAAGCTAAAGGATCCAGACTGTGTCTACCAGAAGAGGTTAAAGGATCCACACTATGTGCATAAGAAGGAGATAAAGGATCCACTCTATATGCAACAGAAGTTAAAGGATAAGCGAGAGAGAGATAAGGAGAGATACTGCTACATACACTGTATATAACTTTGATATTTTGGTTTAATATTTCTACAGTCAAAATTTTAGAGATATGTTTCAAAACTGACAAGATATATTTGTTCTTTGTTCTGGAAATTATTTGGCAAAGTCAGGCTCGAATCACATCATCTGACATGAATTAACCTTACTCTCCAATGGAATAGTTAACACTTCTCAACGTCAATTAAGCTACTTTGTTTATTCAAAATTAAAAAAAATTGTGGAATAATTGGAATTATACAAGGGCAGACTCCTTTCCCTACTAACCACCTAAATCTAGACCATATCAAAATTGAAACTGATGAAAACAACATGCCTTTTATTTTCCTCTCACACTGGCATTTATGCTATTTAATGTCTTACCCCATCTCTAGGCTTCCCTTTTATTAGAATTCGAGGAAAAACCCTGCTAAATGCTGCCACACTCGTGTGTTGAGAGCATTTTCTCCCCCATTCCAAAGGTACTCTATATTAAGCACTGACTTCTAAGAATACTTGTTTTAAGAGAAAGCACTTCTAACAGTGGAGACAGGATGAGCTACATGGAAGGGCATTATGAACCAGTATAATGGTTAAGTTTCCAAATGTTCTTCATCGAAGGCCCTTCCACATGATGCAGAGCCTGGACAGATGGGCATGTTTTCTGAGCCTTCACTATCCCCCCTATCTCAACAGGAGAAGCCAGAAAGGAAGGAAGCCTTGCTTTGTATGTGATCTCCTTATGTTTTCTACTTAGCACTGAGAGATGACTTCCTTTCAACTGCAACAGACTTTATCTGTGCCACAAAATGCAGCATTTTGCTATTATATTTCACTTGGAAAACAGGTTCATACTGTTACTCTAAAAATGATAAGAAGCCTGCTTTTATTTTGTTGGATGAATTAACAACACAGAGGGAGAATGTCTTTATGTGTTTAATAAATATCTGACTTGGAAATTGCTTAGAGCAAA